TTAAGAATGGAAATACTGTTTTGTTCCCCCCCCCCCCCCCCCTGGGGGTCTTTAAAATGGAAAATCTTTTTTTTTCCCCCCCCCCCCCCTTGTTGAGCACAGTTTCTTGTAATTTTTTGTTTTTCATGGCAAAGGATAGTACTGGTTTCAATGAAAGTTGCACTGGGAAGGAGCGTTCAGGCGCAGGTTGGTTGCCTGCTGGGGTGCATTTCTGTCCTGTTCCTCCAGGCACTCCCCAGATCTTCTCCACCCTCTATGACATGATGAAGGACAGCAACGGGCAGGAGGAGATGGAGGCAAGAGGTTTATTCTGTGGTTTGCAAGTTGGGTGTTTGCTTGGGATGTACAAAACCTGGGTTAAATTTTTGAATTCAGTTTGCAGAAGCAAGCTGCTCGTTTCCTAACCAGTGGGGGCCTTTGCTGTCATTCTCAAGACAAATTTAGGAATTAGTTGACTGTAGGCTTTTCTGTTGTTCTGCAAGTCATCACAGCTTCCATTTTTCATGTTTTGCAAAATTAAAAAGAGATCTAGACTAAAAAAAAGTAATCTGTTGTTAGATCTGGGTTTCAGTTCTGGTTTTATCATCACATGGCTGAACAGAAGACCAATTTTAGAGATTATCAAGATCACAGAGCAGGTTTAAGATTAATTTGCAATCTAAGTGAGTTTGTGGACAGAATTAGTTTTTCCAGCATATGTAGCTGTAAGACCCCATGTAGCTAAATATTAATTTTTGTGATTAATATTTTTCATTAGGTGTTACTTTTTCTCTCACTCAAGGTATATTTCTTGTATGTATGGAATTAGTGAGTTGATAGTTAATTTTTACATTAATGAAAAAGAAAAAGTTTGTCTTAGAACTTACTGCAGAGCAAAAAATATTTGAAAATTTTCCAGTGTTTTTTAAGAATTGTTCTTTAATTTACTATAAAGTGAGTATTAGCAACATTTTGTTTTAATACTGAATAGTAGAATTCACATGTGGGTATAGACAGCCAGGATAAATATATGTACTACAGTAACCTTAAGCATCCATTATAGCAAAGCAATATGCCTGCTGAAAAAGGAGATTGAAGTGGGTTTAGGTTACTTTGAATGCATCAGTGATGAACACTTCTTGCAGCACTCTGATAACTTCAATGTAGAAAATTAAGAAGGTGAATAATGTCCTGTTGACAACTAGATTTGTAACTGAAAAGCAAGGAGTTATTTTCAGACGGGGATGTGAAAGACTCTGAGCAGCACTAACTTTGCTGCAAAGGAAAGGAAGGAAGAGAGTCATAACTAATGTTAAAGTCTTTGGAAAGGTTATAAAGCAGGCTGTCCCAGTGGAAATTTGTGGGATAACACTGAGCAGAACTTGGTGATTCAGTGATTACTTGTCATACACATCATCAGTGTCTTTGAGCAAACTTTAAGTGTTCGTACATCTCTGGAAGTTTTTAAATACATCTGTATTGAAGTAGGAACTTTATTTCTTAACATTTGTTTTCTACTGCAGCAGCACTTGTATCTTAATTCCCGTGGAAAAGACTTGGTGTTCTGAAACTTACTTGTCCTATGATGCCTCATTTTTATTCAAATGAAAGTATCCTTTTCCACATGTGTGCTTTAGTAACATAAATACAATTGTCTATACTTAATGAAATGTGGGGAAGTATTTATCCTCAAGGATGCCGCTTGAAGTTTTAGCCAAGCAGCAGGAAGGTGAAAGTCAGTCTTCCAGTAAGCAATCACTCAGTGAATTCATACAAAAAATGTATGTTTTCAGTCCAGCCCCAAGTGGGCAGGTATGTCCGTGGTGAATTAGCTGTGGGTTGGCACTGTTTGCAGAGATCACTGCGCGCATGGGCAGTGAGGGTGGACTGTTTTTCTCAAAAGGGCCGAGGAAATGTTTGCTAGAGAAGCACAGCACAGGGTTCGTGGCTGCCTCTGGAAGAGCAGTCTTGTATTTTCTAGCACTTTCACCCCAATTTACGAAAGAATGCAAAACTTGCCATGATGTGAAATACCGAGTCCCCAAGGCCTCCTTCTGCAGCCATCACTGTCTGAGGAGTCCTGTGGATTTGACATACTTTGTGTAACTAAGGGTTGCAGGCACTGCTGCTTAATGACCTCTGAAATGGAATTTTTTTCATTACAAAATGCCATTCTGTATACTTAAGATGTGTAAGAATTACTGGGCCATCGCTGAAACAAGAAATTTGAGACACTTGCTAACACATTGCTGTCTTAGTTCTTTACAGTATGCTAAAGCTTAAGCATACTGTTGGATGTGCTCCATTACAGACCATGGAAAGACTCACTGTATCTTGTTAGGCAGATTAATATACGATACACATTTAGATATTAAAATAAATAATATTTTTGATTTAAGCACAAGAAAGACGCATATGAAAGAATGATTCTCTTTTTTTTACCTAATAGTAGTAGTTGCCATTACAAAATAAATAATAGTATCATTTTGGGAAATAAAAATAGATCTTGAGGGTATTTACCTTAAGTGTCCCCTCTTCCCCTCCCCTCTCCTCCCCCCCATCCCTAAATTTAGCTTTCATTTATAGAAATTGTTAAAATAATGTAGTTTTACTTTTCTGCCAAAATAAGAAGGGAAGGTTGAGAGGGTGGTCAGGCACTGGAACAGCCTGCCAAGGGAGGTGGTGGAGTCACCGTCCCTGGAGGTATTTAAGAAACATGTAGACATGGCTCTTCAGGGCATGCTCTAGTGCCCAAGATTATTGGTTTGTGGGTGGGTGTGATGTGGTGGGGGTGTTGTGTTTTTTGTTTTGTTGGTGGTGGGGTTTTGTTTGTTTGTTTGTTTGGTTGGTTTTTTAAGGTTGGACTCGATGATCTCAGAGGTCCCTTCCAAACATGGTGATTCTGTGATTCTGTTACCTGTTGAATGTTCTCCAAATACTAAAAGTTCAGGAATGTGTATCATACATCAGCTATTTTCTTGATGCTGCGTCCTTTTAGCAAATGTTCTGTCTGCTTCCAGTTTCTGTGTGATTGGATATTTACTGTGGGATTTTTTTGAGGTTTAATGTGTTGGTCAGTCCTATTCTGGTGTATTTAGTACTGACTCTGTAATAAGGTGCAGGTGTGCACTTGCAGACTCTGCAGATGACGCGAAGTTGGGCTCCATTGCTGAGCCTGAAATAACTTCCAGCTCTCCCAGGGATGCGGGAGAATGGGCTGAGATTATTGCTGAGTAGCAGAAATGCAGTGGAATAGAACAAAGTTCTGGGATGAGCAAAGACCTCTGTTATAGGCTGGGAACACCTTAATTAGCCATGTTGGATAAAAATAAGAGAAATGGATTCTTTGGCTACTGAGAAGCTGACTGTAAACTCTGAATGTGATTTGGCTGTGCCTGATGATTTTAGGTGAAGTGGGCATGTTGTTTGCAGTAGAGACAGGGAAGCATTAATGTCATTTTAATAGACCTTGTTAAGATCTCATTTTGAGCATACGGTCACCTGTGTTCATATAGAGAACTGAAAACAGGAGTGATGCAAATGAGAGGGAGTGGGGTGATGGGGGGAGCAGAGATCCTGTTTGTAGGTGACAGGAAAGGACTTGAGCACATTGATCCTGGGAGAGCACAGGAAGGGACATGGTGACTTCATAAAAATGACCTCACAAGGAAATACAGGGGAGGGATAAAAATTACAGAAGTTAAAGCACAATGTAAGTGTAAATAAACTTCTACAATTAGATTCCAAATACATTGGGGCTGGAAATTTGACTAACTTTCCTAACCATTTGGGAAATGAAGCTGTGGCATAAGTTTATCAGCGTGTCTTTGGAGACAGGGAAACTGAACTAGTTTCTCATTCTCCGCTTAAGGTTCATTAACCGTCAAGGTAAAGGCAGCCCTAGTCTGTGACTGAAGTTTTTCAGGTGCTCGTTGGTGTCTGTCAGAGATTGCAGAGAGCCTGAACCACAGATCTTTATGATGCTTCACACAGAGCATTTACATTCCATGGATCCCGTGCCCAGGGTGGCCTGTGGGAGCCCTTCTTCATCACGGGGTGTTTATTCTGCATGTCCCTCCCCGCCGCATGAGTTTTTCCATGTAGGTGGAGGCAGGATGTTGGGTGGGTTGTAATGAAAAACCTCAGGTGCCTAGGTAGTGTGTCCTTTTATCTTCTCATGCTCACTGTTGGTTGAAATGATTTGCCTCAGTCCAACCAGTGTTGAAGAGGAATGAGAGGATACTCACCTGAGTATTTTCAACAAGCAATTCTTCCATTCTTTCATACTCAAACGAGCCATAAAGTGCAGGATATTGAGAAACATTTAATGTGTAGCAGAAATGGTTGTCAGGAGTAATCCTTTAAAACGTTGTGGACTGGCAGCTTATTAAAGTGAACTAGATTTATCTAGTCCAGTTCTGTGGTTGTGTGCCTCTTCTGGTTTGAAGATGGCTTCCATAAAGTGCTGTTATTTCCTGTGGATTACCTGAAAAAATGAGGTGGAAGGACGGGAGGTAGTTTTCTAACTGCTGGTAGTTCTCTGCAAACCTGCTTTTACCATTGAATTACCACTCTAGATATTAATTAGAATGTTACAGAAATCTGTGTAAAAGATAATACTATCTCCTCTCATAGTAATTGCATGTGCAGAAATTGTTACTAAGTTGTCAACCCAAGTTATTTTGCATTTTCAGGCACTTTTTATAATGAAATATGTCTTCCAGAGTATACCACTTAATACATGTGAAAGATGCAAAATACATGCATTAAACTGTCAATTTTCCAGTAAAATAATAGCATACCTGAGGGTTGATATGAGTGGTATATACTTAAGTTACTACCTGAGCGTTTATTTAATTATACAATTTCATATAGTTTGTAGGTAGCTTGTATTTTTAAAAGTAAAAATCACTGTAGTGTACTATTGTGTTGCATGAAACCGGAGAGGAAAAAAAAAAGCCCCAAATGAATGGTGTTTATTAATTTTTTCCCTTTTTCCTTTCCTTGTTTTTTTGTATCAGGAGCTGCTGAAATGGGTTGTGGATTGAACAAACTAGAGAAGCATGATGAAAAACGACCTGGTAATATCTATTCAACTTTGAAGAGGCCCCAGGTAGAAACCAAGATAGATGTTTGCTATGAATATCGATTCCTGGATTTCACAACACTAAATGATAGTAAGTACACAATATTTTTCTATAGATTTGCTTTTCTATTCAAATTAACATGTTAATTGTTCCGTCATGGTTTTTGAATAGCGTGTGTAATAGTAAAGTTTTAAAACATCTTCAGTTTCTTTGAGTAAATGCCTTCTCTTCAGTCATAATGCTGACATGCAGAGATCTGACAGAGAATTTTCTGTAAATTTTGAACCTTAGAGCTAATTGTAGGTTCTCAGATTTTTGGTTCTTGTACACCACATCCCCCCTCTTTTTGTTTTTTTTTGCTTACTCTAATATGGACTTTTTTCCTCCATAATTTGCATTTTATCTAGCTTTCATATGTTAAAGCAATTCAGGTCTGCCAGGTTTTTACTTTACTGCTCTTTTTTCTTTCTCCCCTTCTGGTCCCTGTGCTCCCTCAGGAGTATTTTGAGAGGTTAAAGTTAGTGTTTTCAGTTCTGCTAACTTACCTTAAATAGCTCTTGTGTGGGTACAAATACTTACAGGTGCACCCACGTGGGTGGAAACAGGATAGTGGGAGACCTGAAGATCTAAAACATCAAAGGCATGAAGGTCCAGTCTCATGTGGTTTTTACCTTTTTTTTTTTTTTTTTTCTTTCCCTATCTGAGATTCTGTAATAGTTATGCTTTAATTCCCATGACAATCCACAGATATTTCATTTCTTTCCTTTCCTGATTGACGTTGAGCATCTCTGCCAGTATTGCTCACACCGTCGCCTGTGCCCTCTTTCACTTCAAAATTAGCCTGTTCCACAAGCGATCACTCCTCACACCATTTGGAAATCCGAAGCTTGAGCAGAAGGCTGGGACCTGCTTCTTGCTATATATAAAACAACACGGTACCAAAATCTGTCGCCGCCGGCTGGCGGGGTGCCAGGTAGAGCCTCTCTGCTTTTGCCCTGCGGTGCGCTGCCACTTCTCTTGTTTTGCACGTCGGGTCAAAGGCAAAGCCAAGGCGGTACGTCTCTCACTGTGCCAGACAAAGAGCTGCTGGTGTGACACCTCTGGTGCAGTTCAGTATGCTCAGCCCAGAGTAAAGGGAATTTGTTGATTTTTTTTTTATTTTTTTTATTTATTTTTTTTTTTAAAGCTTGCTGCAATTGAACTTGAATTTAGAAAAAGGTGGAGGTTTGGAGTAGGCGGTTGGACAGGAGTGTGCTTTTGTAGGCAACGTGGGAGCTGAGAAATTTTGTCTTTGCAGACTTTTCTTTGTGCTACTCGTCATATTTGCGGATTCTTCTGTTGTTATACTAATTGGGATGCACTGCAGTTACTGAGAGCACCAAATGGAAGGGAGAAGATTTTTTTTTTTTCACATTTATGTATTGCAGTTGTTTCTACATTGATGTATTTTTATTTCAAAGTGAACTGTTTATGTAGTTCAATAGTTTGACAACTTTTACTGAGAGGTAAAAATTTTCTTGCTTGCTCTCTTTGGTTGCTGTTTACCTTTTGACATACACAGCTACAGTGATGTAAGGAAATATGCTCCCTTGTTATACATTTTTATTCATTTCCAAACTTGAGCCTTGCTGTCCAATGGAAGATAGTGTTTTTAATCACTTCTTTAAGTGCTGTATAAATAATGTGTCATTAGTGAATATGAATTAATAGTGAGAACACACAAGTATGGGCTTTTCTAGGATGCTCATTACTGTTCTGATTGCCTCACAAGCACTAGTGTGTGCATTCTCCTGGTATCTCAGGAAGTCTCATCTTTGTCTGGAGGAAGAATCAGTACATGCGATAGCAATGTGACTTGCCTCAGGCACAGAGGATGTCTGGCACAGAGCAAAAAATTAAACCCAGACTTTCCAAATCTGATTAAATGGATAGGTTTGGTATAAAGCATACTTGTACGTTTTTCTTACTCAGATTGCTTTATTATGATTTTAGGAGGCATGGCTTTAAAGAAACTGTGAGTAGTTTTATCAAATTCTTCAGTTTGCCAAAGAGTATAAACTATTCAGGTCCCATTGAGTTCTGCTTTGGCATGTTGTGTCCCCATCACTCCAGTCTCTTAAGATGCCAGTGGATATGGAGATGAGGAGGGGATGGAGTTGTTGTTCCTGCTCTTTTTCCTTAGTATCACCCACGACTGTGTCCTCTCAGGATTGGGAGGGCAAAGCACATTGTTAGGCAGCTCCCTCCCTATTCATGTCATTGGCTGTACGAAGGCTCATGTCCCACCATGTGTTTCCACGTTTTTCTCAATGGCGAGAGCATCACTGGTTCATTTATATTTTTGCTCAGAAGTAACCTCTGCAAATAACCCAAGTTGATGAGTGTTTCACCTACGCCCGCGTGGATTCAGAGGTTTCTAAAAATCAAATGCTCACAGCTGTGTAAAAAGAACGTTCGGATTGTGAAGTCTGTCTTCTGTGAATCTACTCTAGCCCTTTCAGTGTCTATATGTATCCTGACATCATTTTTTCCACAGGTTTTCTGCTTCATTAGGTTTTAGAATAAGCCATGCTAAATTATGAGTACTTGCAGAGTATTTTACTGTAGCCTTATTCTATGCCTTGTTTACAACAGTGGTGAGTCTGTCTGTGAAGTCCAGTACTCATTTTTCTCTGAGGCTTTTCCATAACTTTTACTGCTCTGATAACTATATCTCTTACGAGCATTTAATCTTAACTGCAAGAAGGGTGTGATTATCTCCATCTTGCAAGTGGGAGCTAATACACATGCTACTTACTGCCAGAAGTTTTCCAAGCCCTTAGTGTTTCTTCATGCATGCCGAAAGCTCTTGTTCACTTTAGATGTAAATGTGGATGCTGGTTGTATTTGTAGTTTGAAACTATATGTATTCTCAAATCTGATATCCAGATAATCAGAGATCACTTCCAGAATGTGGTGTATGTTTTAATTGCAGTTTCACAGGCAGCTAGGTGGACACAAGTTTTCTGCAGCTGTGTATGGGGAGATACTGCTCCCCTCTCGCGCTTCCTGTCAGCTCTATGCATGGATAACTCATGGATCTGGCAGAAGGCTACGCAGTCTTTTTGTTTCATTATCATCTGCCAGATTAGTGTCTTGTGGAAAGGTGTGAAGAATGCTGGAGCAGGTAGAAGTGGTGGGAATTTGCAATCAGGAGAAGAAAAAGGGCTGCCTTTAAATCAGCTCACACTCCTATGAACTCATTCCCTTAGCATCACTCTGTTGAAAACAGGGATGAAGTGCTGTCCTGATGGTCATTTCTCTGCTATGTTAGCCAGAAACTTAAATTTTTTTGCTCGCTCTCTTTGGTTTCTGTTTACCTTTTGACATACACAGCTACAGTGATGTAAGGAAATATGCTCCCTTGTTATACATTTTTATTCATTTCCAAACTTGAGCCTTGCTGTCCAATGGAAGATAGTGTTTTTAATCACTTCTTTAAGTGCTGTATAAATAATGCATAGATGCAAAAGACAGAATTAAGGTTGCAAGTGTAATCTTCATTCTGCCGTTTCCCAACAAAATCGACGTACTTGGAAGTAAAGTGTCTAGAGAAAGATTTCCCAAGCTCTCAAGAAAATCAGACTATGAAGAACCCATCAGCTTCCATCATGTGCCACAACACTGGTGATCTGCATGGTTTTTCAGAATTGAAGTGGTTAGATTTGCCACTGTCCTTTACTTCTTGAGCAGGTGTGATAGCTGATAGTAGTAAAGGTTTATTATCTAGTGTAGATTGGTACGTTGGGAATAAGGAGCACTTCGCTGAGGCATTTCAAAACCTCGAGGTGGGTATTCTTGGATTGAGTTGTTGGCTTTATAACGTCTGCTTATAAACCTTGTCTGTCTTGTTTGTGCTAAGGTGGCCTTTTCTAAGAAATCACAGTCTGTCTTCAATGTTTTCCCTGCAGGGACACCTCCCACTAGACCAGGTTTCTCAAAGCCCCATCCTTCCAGGGAAGGGGCATCCACAGCTTCTCTGGGCAATCTGTTCATCACCCTCACAGTAAATAATTTCTTCCTGATACCTGATCTAAATCTCCCCTCTTTCAGTTTAAAACCATTATGCCTTGTCCTATCATTACACTCCCTGATAAAGCATTCCTGGTGTACTCATCCAGCTCCTGAACTCTGCCAGCCTTGCTGTCATCTTCTAAGGCTCATTCCTTCACCGAGTTAATCTCACCTGTACGGTCCAGTATTGATCATCTCTATCTTCAGCCATTTTCTTCTGTCAGGTTTCTACCCCCAATCATTTCTTCTGCTGCTCCCTGAGTCACCCTGTCCTGACACTCCCAGTGGGGGCATGCAGTGGGTGCAGGTAAAGCCTTGGAGAGGGCGCAAGCTTTTAAAAAACATATTCTCAATAGCTTTATCTGCAGTTTGAATGTTCTTCTAGCTCTCTGCTGACTAATCCTCACTTCAGAGTTGCTCAACAGGCTGCCTTCTCACAGACTTTGAGACAATAAGTAATGTTAAGTGGCAATGATTGAATTTTATCACAATAAAAAATTTGAGGAGAGTAAAAGGCAGTAGCATTAGATTAAAGTTGCAGCAAACCTTTTGCAACTAAGCTAAAGAGACAAATCAAGTTCCATATATACTTCAGCTCTTTACCGCAAAAAACCACCAAACATCACCTAGAAGTAAAGAAATTGTTGTTTATTTTGCACCCTTCTCCGTATAAATAAAAGGAGCTGAATAATGGTTGTCTTGTGTCTCTCTCATCTCCAAGTTTTGTTGGAAATGAGGTAAATGGTGAGCCAACCTGTGGAGGATGTGTGCTGACAAATTAAATAGCCTTAGGTTAAAGCAACCATGTTTTCAACAGTGACTCTGTGGGGAAGCTCATTTGCTTTGTTATTTTGTTTGATAGAGAAATATTGCAATAATCTGCATTCCTTTCCTGGCTCTTACGTGATCTACTTATTTTGGAAAACTTCACTTGCAACGATAGGTCATACGGACAGTGAGCTCTCTCTCTTCTTCAGCCTTTATTTCTTTTTTTCCACCACTTTTCAGTTATGATGACCTTCTGAGAGAAACTGGGA